TCAAATATGTTTTATATTTTCTCTCTCTCTCACCCTCTGTCTCTCTCTCTGTCCCTTTCACTTTATTTCATTTTATTTGTGTTTTTTGTTTTATGCAAAACTTTTGCGTTTTACAATTCATTGCATATTCAATTTGGTTGGGTCGACAACGTCGACGCCGACGCCGACGCCAACGCCGACGACGACGATGACGACGCCACAAGGGCACCAAACAAACAGCAAAGGTCCAAAGCATATTAATAAGGATTTCATTAGTTTTATACGTTTCGTTTCGTTTCGTTTCTTTTTATTTATACCCAGCACCCATTAGAAATGGGTCAGCAAAGGGTATCATAGACAGACTACTTGGGTATGTAACTGAGAGATTTAGCTGAGCTAATGGAAGGCTAAAGTTGAGGGTCGGCTCTGACGATTGCAGATTCACAAATACAAACTACTTTACCAAATATTTTTTCTACCTATTTAGGCCTAAATTACATTGTCACTAAATTTAACCAAGAATTCTCAAACAATTTTCCAACACTTTTCATTCCCTCTGCAATCATTATTCATTTTACAGGGTATCTAGTGAGTCGCATGTACTGGAATTTACAGTTATTTTTACACCCTCACACGCACACTAATGGGTCGATACTTTTACTTTTTGCTTATTTGCTTTTTTCTCTCCCTCACTCTCTCTCTCGCTCTCTCTTTCTATGGGTTCTTGTGCGGCATTGCTGTGGACTTCAACTCTCGGCGCTAATAAATGGCTAAACGTTTAGATAAATGTCTGTTATTTTGTATTATCGTAGTTGTGCTAGATATGAAAAGTTGACCAACTCCGACGAGTCCAAAAGCCAGAGGTCAGCCTGGTAGTAATATGAATATTTGTCTAAGGCTCCACGCCGGGGCGAGCGCATTCAGTGGGGATCAATCAGCCAGGCGCTGCCCAACAATCATAACTAGTAACGAGTGCATTTCAAAAGCAGCCCGACTACATTTATACCCTGTACATAATGGGCTATTTAAACTGATTCGAGCTAATCCTCACCCTTCAGCCGCATCCTATCGAGCTAAGCTCTTTCCACACACTTTTCGTTTATATTTTTTCTGCCTTTCAGTTTCTAATCGGACAATAAATTGAGCATTTAATAGCTGCCGGATTTGAGCACAGCTCGCTTGCCTGATTGATTGAAATGTCACTTTAAATGTGACACCCCAGCGAAAAAAATACGACAAAAAATTAACCAAAAAAAAACAAGCAAAGTAAATAAATAAAACGCATCAAAAATGCCAAATGAAACATAAATGCCAGCAAGAGCAGCGCTCGGAAAACCGCAATAAGCCCGCATCGCCCATAACTCCCGTCTATCTGAAACCTCCCTCCACCCCCACCTCCACCTCTGAAAGAAACAACAAAAAGCCAGTGTCAACCCTCGTGTGCGTTTGTTTTGTATTTGATAAGCATGAAAAACGCACAGAAAATAAAATTGTTTTAGATGCTAGGCGAGCGGTGCGGGACGGGCAGCACCCCAAACAGAATCCTTAAAAAATAGTGCTACTTAAAAGTAAAATACAAAAAAAAAAAAAAAACAAAAAAAACAAAAAATTATAAAAAACCAAAAACAAAGAACAAATGTAAAATGGGGTTGGGGGGGGCAACACTGGCACTGGCAAATGTATGCGGCAGCCCTGACAGCCGGCAAATGTTTTATCGTTTATATTTTTTTTCACTGCGTTTTGTTAAGTTGGAAAAATGAGCGTCGATTAATTTAATAGAGACAAAAAGCCTTCGTACACACACACACACACACACACACACACTCATACAGAAACGGGTCGAAGGATCCGGTTTGGGCATGGAAATAAGCTTCTGACATGGAATGTGCCCGCTGCTCCTGACTGCCAGTGTCCAGAGCACTTTTCCAGCAAGTTCGTTTACCTGTGAAATAGTAAAAGCGAGATGTGAATAGTTTGAAAGGATTATAGGGTTCTGGCCTCATAGAGAAGCTGGCCTCGTGGTAGTCGTTATAAACAAATACCATTTTTTGGAGAAATTATCATTATTTTAGAAAACAAAGAGATACACCTCACAATAATGTGTTTAGCTTGTGGATATTGCATATGTACAATAGTATATGTATAGTAGTATATACTATAGTTTAAGTTCGAGTCATTGGTTCGTAAGTACCTCTCTTAGTAACTTGCATAGAAAACACTTCTGTAGAGTTTTCAGATTTTTAGACTAAAGGTACATACATACACCTTCACGAGATTAAAAGGAGAATATTTATATGAAACTCCACTTGCTATACTATAATCACAATTATATAAATTTATATTTAACAATTTTTTTTTTATTATCATTATTATTTGTTATAATATTCTATTATTAATATTATTTTCTCATAATATTTTTTTTTTTAATAATTTATTATATTTTATTAAATTTTTTTGTTCTTTTTTTTCATTTGAGCATTTATTAAAAACTAATTTAGCATAAATATACTTTGAAAATCTTTTTAATACATTCTATTAATAATGTATATACGAAGCTTCCATTTAATAATTTTGCATCCTATACAATTTCTCTGTAATTGATGTTAAATAGTGCTAAGAAAGTTCTCTATAGAATGAAACCCAAGTAATAAATGTATTATCTTCCATATACCTACATACATATATCATTAGCTCACTAGAAAGGTAATTTGATAATAAGGTCTGTTAATATATATCAATTAATAATAATCGCTAATTTTTCGATTGAAATAAAAGCAAAATAATTTGTTATACATTGATTTATAAGCTATTGATACGGCCTATGACATCAGGAACTGAAGTCTAGATTGACTCCTCAGTGCTACACAGCTGAAACATCCAGTATAGCTCTCAAAACAGGAATATTAATCACTAACTTAAACTGCAGACCCTAGTTATAGTTCAGAGCTCACTAATACACGCCCACCCACACACACACAGCATACCAGCTAACAGAAGAGAGAAAAACTGATTTGAAGTCAGCGTTGCAGCGACTCAAGGCATTGGCGAAGTGCTCGCTGAAAATCAGTTAATGCTCAAGAAAGGCAACATAAATAAACACATCAACACAAAGGCAAAACTTTTGATGCCCTCTGGCTGATTTGTAGGACTCGCCGGCATTTGCATTCAGCCAGCTACCCCAGCTCCTCGATACTAGAGGAAAATAATGCCCCCCTTCTGCTTCATATGTGCGTGAAATGCGCGCAGGACTCCCCTTTGGTTCGTTGGCTTTTTGTCTTGAGCTGTAGACGATGACATCGTAGCGGAAGTCGAAAACAAAAAAACATTTTTTAATTGCTTCAGATAAGACGCAGCACACATAACTTGCAGCAAACTTCTGCCTCTCACCCAACACCCCACGACAACAAAAAAAAAAACAAACGAAAGCAAAAGAAAGGCAAGCGGCAATTTTACAATTCAGCGCACATTTTGATGAGCTTCATAATTTTTGCTGCTCATTGACGTTCCCACTCATATCACATTTGAAGCAAGTGAAGCCCCCAGCCCCAAATGTCGAATAGCCCCCTAAGACAGCCTAGACGACTAACCAGAACTCATTTACACATTCGAGCTATGGCGTAGCAGATAAGACGCTGAGAAATCGAGCGAGCTTAGGCTTGATAAAGGGCTGAAGCGAATACGAAACATCAAGCCTGAGCAGGCGGATAGATCAATGTGTGAAGGAGGCCACAGCGACTATGTGAAAGAGTCAAATACAGATTAGTTGAAGAGAGATGGGGAGATGCTAAGTAAGATGAAAGAGAGAGAGAGAGAGGGACTGTTTGAAGGGCGGAGACTGTGGGACAGTGGCAAAACCAGAAATTAAGTAGAAGTAGAGCCTGGTTAAATTTTGCCTTCTTTTCGCTTAACTAGCACTTCTATATTCAAGCTCTATACTATATAGTCTATAGAGCTCACATGAAAGTTAGAACTAGTCAATGCGATAGACCCATGTCTATGATATGATATTACTAAATATCTAGTATTTATATCTATATATATATCTATCTATCTTCCATACGTACCATATATAGTACCACATAGATATTTTCATTTACTGTAATATCTTTTCCAGTTGTAGCGTATTCACAGCTCGTCTATGCCGACATTTACATAGAGTGCAGAGCACAACCTGCGTTTATTTTATGACAGTTGACTTGGCTATCCGCTTCTGCTCCATACACTTCACATAAGTACGACTATGTCACACAATTATCAAACGCTCTATCTGTGCATCAGTGACTACCGCACAGTCATATACCCATTCCATTCCATGCCGCCTTCGCCTCCGCCTCCGACACCGCCTTCTCCACCGCCCAGCCACGCCCACTGCGCACACATAGGCCATAGCAGTTGGCGTGTTTACACAATTATATGCATTTTACGCTACATAAACGAGATTAGTGCGTCGCTTACTTGTGCCTAACTTCTTTTGACACAATGCGACGGGCGCAGGGCAGGACGCCAGCCCCATTAATGTGGCAGGCAACACCCACCTTCCGCAGAGCACGGCCTAAACGAAAGTTGGCTCAGAGATACGGGCCAACAACTCTTTGGGCCTTGAATGTCTTGCTGTTGGCAGCGGATGGAGGCGCAGCGTCAATTGCTTTTGTTTTTTCTCTACTTTCCTTGAACTTTTTTTTTTTATTATTTTTTCTCTGCTTTCGACTCTGGCAATGCTGAGGGGATGTGTGTGTGTGTGTGTGTGTGTATGCGTGACTCGTGCGTTTGCATTGTTAACAAGCGCGCACATCTTTTGTTACACAACAAAATTTATAGAGATGCGTCGTCGCTGTCGTCTGAAGTGCTTATATGGAACACACATATCTATATTTTTTATGACTTTTTGTTGATCTTGGCACAGCGAATGCGTGTACGTGAACGAAACAAAGCTACTTGTTTATGTTTTACAAGCCCTATCAGCGCTCCGACTTCATTGTTTGATTTTTTGGTAGTTCACCCAAGAATTCACGCAACATGAACTTATATCACAGCCGAGATTTATGGCTCGAGCTATGCTAGAAGAAAATTTATTTTTATAGAGCAAAACATGAGAGAATTCATATGTGGGATGTGGGCGCCAATGTCTCTAATCGATGATTTTCTTGATCATGAAATAACGGCGAAGGTACAGCACTTGCCAAGTGGCCAAGCCAAGCAGACAGCTCATGCTGAACACGCTGTAGTATAAGACTCGAGTGTTAGTTTTCTCATTGGTATCACGCATTTCCTGCTCTCGTTTACGCATTAGCTGAAAGTCATGGAGAATCAAATCCGAAAGATCTTCTAAACGCTTTAAATCCGCCTCGGTCGGTTTCAATTTGGATGCCTCCCCAAGGTCTGCAGAGCTCTTCTCCTCAAAGCCTTTTTGGATAATCAATGAGACTTCTTGATTAACTCCAGGTTGATTAACTTCCACTATTGAAGTGAAGCAAATCTCGTAAGTTTCATACACCTCGGCCGAGAAGGTGAACTTTCCTTTGGTAATCTCATCCTTTTGGGACAATATATGACCCTTGCTGTCGCGTACAATATAGTTGATAACCTGTCCGGGCACATTCGAGACTTCATATTCGCCCATTATCAATTGGTTCGCTTGCATATCCTCCTTAAGACATTTGCTTGCGTTCGGCCACAGATAGAACTTGATACCATGCAACACCGGGATGCTTCCCAGAATCGTGAGTATAATAATGTAGGATTTTAGCATTTTCTTGATTTAGAAATTAATAAATTGAACAGAAAAATTTGAAAATTGCTGCACAGAGGTGAGTTTAGCAATGAATGTATATATATATATATATATATATATATATATATATACATATAGACGTATACGTTTGTATTGAGTTTAGTCTCATGGCAGACTATGATTCAAGATACTTATTAAACTTAAAAGACTAAATGCGTTGGTTATGTAACATATCCAAATTAATGTGTTTCTCACTTGTTTTCCTTTTACTCACGCTGTCTGCGCGTTTCATGATATTTCTCTCCATCGATCTCTCTCGCTCTATCTTATTTAGTCACCCTCTCAGCATTTCTCTATCTCTCTATTGCTATCTTCCTTTGTCTCTCTGTATCTATCTGTCTCTGTATCTCGCTCTCAGGCTCTCTTATATATATATTTCTCTCTCTCTCTTCTATCTATCTATCTATCTGACTGTCTTCGTCTATCTGTCTCTCTATATACATGCTCATATCTTTTTCTCTCTCTTTAACACTCACTCTCTCTCCTTCTGTCTCTCTCTCTCTCTATCTCTCTCTTTCTCTCTCTTTAACCTTCTCGACCCAATCTCTTATCCTCCGATTGTCGAGCTTTCACTGTCTCCCTCATTCCACATATCTATCTTTCTCTCTATCACATCTCTCCCATCCAATAATTGGATCAACCTCTATCAACTAATTTGTTTCGTTTTTTCAATGATCTACATAAATTACAATAAGTCATCCCCCTCCCCAGAGAGGGGAGTTTTTACCATAATGTCGCATGAAATTAGAAGCCATTAGCCTTTAGTTAGGCTGAAGGATACAGTAAAACCCAAAACAAAAACAAAAAACTGATATTTTTTGCTGTTTCTGGTAAATGTTCAGACATGGAGCAACTGTCAGCAGCTGTTGGCGTCTAGCAGCCAAAACAGAAAAAAAAAGAAAGTAAAATGGCAAAGGTAAAGGCAGGAAGAAGTGGAACAACAATTTCAACAACAACAGCTCAAATCAAAATGCCATTAAAGCGTGTGACGTTGTCGCTTAAGTGGAAGTAAATATTGTCATTACTCAAGCTTAAAATTAAAATTACCCACCTGGATGGAGAGCAAATGATAAACTGCATAAGCCAACGGCAGCGCAGCGCAACAGACCAACAAATTTCGAATGCAAAACTTTTTTGCACAAGTGTGTGTATGTGTGTCTGTGTGTGTGTGTGTGTGTGTATAGAAAACCCCACCTTTTGGCCAGGCCAAAACAGCAAAGAGCAAAGTCATTTTCATAACGACAACGACGCCAACTTCTTGACTAAAGGTGCGCGGCCCACAGCTGATGAGCTGTAACCCAGCTCCAAGAGCCCAGCCATCCCCCCAACTCTCCGCCTTCCCCCACTCCTCACTTGCATCGCCACTTGGAGCTGGAGGCGGAGCTGGGCGTGGCCTGTGCCGCGTAAAATGTGCTACGTTAAGCACATCTGTTTTTTATTGCTTTTAATTTGCCATTAATAACGCATTCCGAGGCGAACGCCCGGACAGCCGCCCAAAATGCTAATTTATAAGCATATAGATAGATATAGTAGTAATAATAATAATAATAATAAGTCCAAGTATATGCATACATATTTTTTGGAAATCCAATTTTAATATGCCCCAGCCAAGGGCATTATCTCTCTCTGCCGATGGCCCCACCTGCTCCAGCTCCTGCTCCAATACTTGGCCAGCTGCTTGACTCGAGCATAGTTGGGTGAGGGGGCGTCTGCAATTAGAGACAAGCCTTGGCCCATAAGTCAATGAGCTTTTGGCATTTTTATGGCTGAACATGAGGTATGAGACGACAAAAACTTTGAAAATTTAATCGACAAATAGTCGAAAGAGAAATCGTTATCGAAACGATGTACTAAGGGAGAGTTTGAATCTGATTGAAGCTGAGATAGAGTTGAATTCAATGTGCAAAGCAGACGGCATAAACAAAGAGGAATATTGAAATCGAGGAGCACTGACTTCATAATACTCGCTTGCAATGCTCGCCAAATTCAAAAGCATAGGAATTTGTCTCTAGAGAAATACGGTAGTCACTCATCCGATGATCGTTGATTAAAGCTATATATACCCCATCCCCGACCAACGAATGCTGTATGCTGTATGCTGTATGCTGTATGCTGTATGCTGTATGCTGTATGCT